ACAGAATGTAGATGTTTTATTTTCAAATATGGTACAAGCAAGGATATTGACTGACTTTAATTATTATAAGCATATGGACGATCTTGACACCTTTGAAAGTATTTGGTGCTGTAACGGTGCTTTGTGTTGTTTATTCGAAGCTGACGTGATTTTTACATTTATGTGATTGTTTTTTTTGTCTTCATGTAAATTATGGTTTTGATTGTACTGTGACTTTCTACTTGTATTAAAGTTTTGTTAAAATTTAAATTTTCTCTCTCTCTCTCTCTATCTATCTGTTGATCTCAGACTGGATACCACACACATGGAAAGCTTGTCTGAACAGAGACATCAGTAATACGAGCAGCTGCACACACATCACTATATTTTGAGGGCAGGTTGCCAGTTTCCCACAAATCGTATCGCAGTTGTGTTGCCTTCCGTCTCTTGCTTTCAGCATGCTGATCTATGTTAACTGGACTTCCCCATAGGTTGCTATGTGGCCTAAATGTCACTACACCTTCCTCCACACCCATCTCCCCTTTCCTCTGAGGAACATATTCGGCATGTCCAGGCTGTGATTCACTGCAGCTGGCACGTCTGGAAGGCAGGATATTCACGCTAGACACTTATATAAGCCCCCCCAAAACATGTGACCTTGAGCACAACCATTGAACTACTTTCACTGTCTTGCTATCAATTATTCTACCAGATGAGTGATGTTATTTGAGTTTTTCAATGGTCATTTTGCATATTTACTTATGTGACTTAGAGTGTCACAACTGCAGAGTCCCTTTCAAGCACTCAAATTGGCAGCTCTAAACATTCAACTCAAGGGTTCTTACTCATGCTGGTCATTTGCAATTTAAGATCTGCGACCCATAAACCCGACCTGTCCAAGCTGCTCCAACATCACATACAGGTAGAAAGGAAACGGTAGACAACCACAGTAGGACACAAGACAGAGAGGTGAGGATATTATGATGCACAAGCACATTGAGCATAACTCAACACACCCACATCGTCTTTATAAAGTAGTGCCGGGACAGATTTCATCATAAGTACACTATTGCGAAATCTGGAAACATTTCTTGCCAATTTCACTCATTTTAGCCTGGTCAAAATTCATTGCAGATGCTCTGATTGGCTGGTGTGTCACATGACTCCTCGGTGACATCACATTTAGCATAAATCTGGGCCTATTTAAGGTTTGTCCTGTTTATTGCCAAACTCACAGCCTCATATGGATGTGCTGATTTAGCCTAAAATAACCACTAAGTGGGGAATGTTTTCCACCCACACGCTACAAACCTGTTTCTGCTCGCCCACTGAATTCCCCAAAATGTGCAACATCTCTTAACATCTTCAATTATACATTATCAACTTAACACAGGAACTCTCATTTCCCCAATTGTTGTATTTTTTTTTTCCCATGTTGCCAGTGTTTACATTTATCAGCAATTATCACAATAATTTATCTGATGTCAGGAGTCATATACAATGCAATTGTAATGCAAGAGGAAAAGAGGAACAAAACCTCATGTTTGAAGTTCTGACTACTTTGTAGTCTGTTTTTGTGAAACGGGAGTAACTTCCCCATTCTGAGACGAAGCCGTATGAAATCCCAAACACGCATGACGTAAGTGCTCGGCAGCAGTGTGTGTGACCTTTAGGTGAAACTTAGACTTTCCCTGGCTGACCGTCAGTGTACTAGCCAAAACATACCTCGAGAGATTAATACCTGGAATACAGTATAATCTGTCTGCATTTATACTAGCATGACTTTGGTGGAAGCGTTCCAGAAACGCAAGTTATGAGTAACTCAAGACATTGCATGCAATAGCTGTAGCCTGAAAATAAGTTGTAATTGGTAGCACAGCCATTATTCGGAAAATGTTTCTATGTGTAGGGTTGCCTACTTCAGTGTGGGAAAATAAGAGACAATGGAGATCAGATGCATGGATGATTGTCATTGCCAAAGTACCTTTCAGAACAGGTGAGGCCGAGATGAAATGACTGAGAGAGAAAAATACACATAAACTCCTGAACTGATGACTGAGCTTCGAAAATCCTGTTCTGATTTGATAAATGTGAAACAAATTACCTGCAATTAATAGTTACTGATGGATGGATTGATGTTTGTTTTATTTTATTTTAGAGCTGGGTTTTCCAGAATGTGTCTTGTTTACTTTTCCCCAAAGTACGATCTGATCACGGGTCTGGAAATTAAAACGAAAAGACCCGTCCACATTCAGGAAGCACTGCAGAGTCACTTTCAAACGGGAAGCTGACAGAAATCAACGAGAGTAAAGCCCTCATGTGATACATGTATTACAGTAACAGATTGTAAGTCACTGATGCACACAAGAGATAGCACTGTAATATTGCTTTGTTTTGTCCACACTCACACCCAGAGCCATGAAGATAAGAAAACACGCATTGTCAAACAGGTCAGTGATGTGCTACGGGAAGTGGCAGGAGTAAACGGGGATCTGAGAGAGTGACTCTTACTGTAGGCGTAGTGCTGCTGCTACACCTGTGGCGATGACATCACTTCCTGTAAACCCTCAGGCTCGGATGCACAGGTTTTCACATGCAGGTGACATAATCAGGCCCTTCCTCTTCCAGACACAGATCTATTTTTAGAACAATGTGAAATCACATTTGGTCACTTTTATGTTTTTAAATCGGAGCCACTTTCATATGCAGAAATAAAGTTCATGCACATTCCATTCCGAGTGCACATCTGGAAATGATGTGGTGATGAAATATGTGCATCACATTGTTGGAGGAGGAACATGTGCTTTTACTTAAATATCTGTTCAGATTCACCCATTTAAAAGCTATTTGTAAGGTCTACAGAACAAATCATTATACATGAACCAATTTCATCAGAAGGTTTTTACTGAGAAGCATTAATTCAGTGTCAGCCAGGGCGCTTTTTTCCTTTTTCCCTTCTGCCAAAACAGCTTATATGCTGTTTCAGCTACTAAAATAGTTCAGATTTGTATGAAATGGTAAAGTGATTATATTTCGTTTCATTAGTTTAAGTTAATTTAGAAAAACATTTGGAGCATGTTTTGTTCATTAAATGTAATTTTTGTTTTTTTTAAGTATCGACCAAGTGGCCAGCGGCAGACAGTGAGCTGATCATAGCCTATTTGATCAATTTAGCCTTCTCAAATTATCACGACTTGCCTAAAATAAAATCTATAGCTATAAAACAGCTCAAGCATATCACAATGTCAGGCTAGTTTAAACACTTAACCTATAAATGTGCGCTGTTAGAGGCATACCCAATCGTTTGTGCGGAGAGTGGAAGCTGAAGCGCGCTTTACTGGACTTGGAGGCGCCAGCGCGATCACTTGCATTGGAAACATTTTAAAATACGCTGTCGTTTTTGCTCATAAAGTTAAGAGTAATACAGCATTCAATCAGAACTGTAAAGGGTCTACTTTTATTTGTGTGCACTCACAATATCAACAAAACGTGCTTTTATAAAATGAAGAAGAAGAAACAGGATGCTTTCTGCAGTTTCGGTTTTGAACGGGAGCGCTTCTGATAAACCAAAACTCAGCGAATACTTGCCTCACTGACTTGATAAATATATCTATAGAAAGCTTTGAATTATTACTTTAAAACGAAATAATTCAAATCGAAAACAAAAACTCTTTCATTATAAAATCCCTAAAGATGCATTTCATTTAGCATTTCCAATACATTCTTCTTATTATTATGCCTATTATTATTATTATTAGGTTACTTTTATTATTAAATTAGCCTACAATTAATGTACACCGCAATAATTGCATAGCGCATCACCGCATGCGCTGTGAGGATAATAGAAGATTAGGCTATTGGCTTACTCCTCATTGAAAATGTTTTTAAAAAGGTTTTTAAAAAAAAACAGGTCTATTAATTTATACAATGAATTATAGGCCTGTAAGAGCAGCTTTATTCCATGCACCGATTTTCAAAAATAGCCTGTTTAACACGAAATACGTTTCTTCTCGTGTTTTTCACTATACAGGTCACAAGAGAGATATTAAGGGAATAATTTAAGACGAAGTAGATTAGTCTCTCGTCTCTGAGAGAATAAGCGCCGTTAATGCAGCGTTAGAAATCTCCGTCAGTTTTTGTACTTTAACGTTCTGTAGGCTATAATGAATTGAGGTTAAGACGTTCACCTGCCGTAATATTGCGCAAAGTTTGCATGTTGCTTGTGGGCTCGCCTTCATGGTTTAAAACAGAAATATTTATTTATATTTCTAATTTATTTATAGAAATGTACCAATCTAAGGCTTAAAACTGCTACTTAAATGCGAAATGACAAAAATGTAAATATCAAAATAAAATGTACTTAAACATCATACCATGAATTACAATGTTCTACTAATTTCAGTGTTTTGTTCATGTGAATGAGTTTAGCATCTCGTGTATAGGCCCTTATATGCTTCGGTATGTGACACGTTTTGTAAACAAAATCCGAATCGAGCATATTTCGGTGTATTGTTTAAACTGGTCCTTTTGCTGGTATGTGCTGGTTTATGCTGGTCCTTTTGCTGGTTTATGCTGGTCATTTTGCTGGTGTATGCTGGTCCTTTGCTGGTCATGTGCTGGTTTATGCTGGTCATTTTGCTGGTTTATGCTGGTCCTTTGGCAGCACATGACCAGCATAAACCAGCACATGACCAGTAAAGGACCAGCATAAACCAGCAAAAGGACCAGCATAAACCAGCACATGACCAGCAAAGGACCAGCATAAACCAGCAAAAGGACCAGTTTAAACCAGCATCCCAGCGTCAAAACATACCTAACCAGCATATGCTGTTTTTTTCAACAGGGTGTGTACACAACGTTTACAACAGAGTAAAGCCTCTCTTATGTCTTACACAAACTGTGTGAAAGAACACCATGATATGAAATGCTGAAGTGATGGGATAAATGTAGCTCGATATTCCATGAAATAACGAGGGGAATACGGAGTCAGTCACAGAAATTCACACTTTACTCTCCTCCCGCTTTCCACCTCCGTTTGCGCAGAAGCGAAAGAAGCGGAAAGTTAGTCGGTTTTTCTCTGAACGTCCCTCTTCGCGTCTGGGTCTCTCTTTCGCTCTCCTGTGGGCGGAGGAGGAGGTGACGAGGGAAACCTGTTAGTTCCGCCTCCTGCGCGTCTATATAACGCTCATGATGTCTCCCCTCGAGCAGAGCTGCACCTGCCGTGGATGTACATATCACTTTACTTACACGCCGTTTCTGGAGATGTCCGCGTCCACAGATGTTGAGAGCCAGTCGCCCGCCGTGCGCTCCCGTAGCCGGTGTCTGGACACCTTCCTCACCGTGTCCGTGATCGCACTCTTCCTCATGTTTATGGTCGCGCTCGCGGGCGCGCTGTACTTCTCCAAGCACATCGAGGACGAGATAAACGCGCGGACGACGCGACGCTTAGACGGATCTGCGGACGCGTTGGTCGCGCCGTTCCCCGAGACCGGAAACGCTTATAAGGTGAGTTTGTAAATGGATAGAAATAGAATGTTTTACTATTATAATATTGTAAGTAGTTCTTATTTATAATACCATAGTATTTTCGTGTTTGGAGATGCACCATGGAATTACTATAATTGGACATGACAATACAGTTGTGTTATTCAAAGTACATTTAAATTAATTTGCAAATACCATATGATTATGATAATCAATTAATAACATTACTTTTTATCAGTTGACAATAAGAGCTTTGATTTTAGAGAGGTTGCTATACTGTTAGAAAAAGGTTCCAATAAGAATTAGAATTATAATAATAATACGTTTTTTTTTTTTTTTTAGAAATAAATTATATAAACGAAACCGCTTGATGCCATAGAAAAAAACTTCTGTGTTGTGGTGTTTTAATAAACCAAGAAGCCAAAACGCCAATCTGAAGGACCTATAATGAAACAAAGAATAGGCCTATTTTTAATCTAGAACGAACCATGTAGCATCTCAATAACTTTGCAGAGCCTAAATGGGTTCCTGAGAAATGAATCAGACCAGGGCTGTTTTCTGAACCTGTTATTGTTGAACCTGTATCTGATGTCTCGTGTCCTCCGTCTTCCTTTTTCTAGATGCAGAATTTTGCTTACCTGAGGGCCATTGAAAGTAAGTTGCATGCCAATATATTTCACATTTTGAACTTTAAGTATGCAAAAAAAAAACTTGTGGTCTAAACATAAAAGCATAGTTGGCTTGTATTTAACCCGGAATATTCCTTTGCACATTGATCTCCTCTGTTAAAGTCATGGGACTGAGCGTGTCTCTTTGTCTCCGCCCTGCAGGTAAACTCAAATCAGGTGTGATGGCGTGGGAATCTATCGCGTATGGAAAGAGTCGAACCATCGGCTCTCTCTACAGCTATGATAAAAAACAGAATGTGCTTAACGTGAATGAGAGCGGAAGCTACTTCCTGTACGTCCAGCTCACTTTTTCCTGCACTGAAATATGTCCATCTGGCCGATTCACGGTCAGCTTTCATAATCAGCACAATAGCGAGGAGCTCACCTGCACCGTCTCACTGCCTAAATGGAGCGAAGAAACACCCATTAGCAAGACGTGTTGGCGAGTCGTGACCTTTCCGGAAAATAGAAACCGCCTTTTTGCCAAATCCCAGTTTAACGGCACACTAGACTGGAAACTGGAGCTGAATGACTCTGGCTTTGGGATGTTTCTGGTGGACGGATTACGAGCGGTACGTCACACGTGATCACGAGAGGCCCGACCAAACTGCTTTCAGGCTGCTCGTTTGAGTCGCGTAACTTTGATCCACACAGGACTTGTTTTTAATGCTCTGAGGACCAGGACTCCACTAATGTCCGCAGACTGTCTTGGCTAATTTGGCAATGCCTTCAGCTACCAGAAAGAGTGACTCTTTAACATTTTAGCCACTATATTCAAATGCATTCTGCCAAATTTTGCAGGTTTTCCTCTACAACAAAAGCTCAGAAAATGCAATGAGGTCTACAGACTTTGTCTGGACTTGAACAGATAAGCAATGCTTCTTAAGCACTATTTATAATTTAAATATATTTATACGCGTTTAACTTTTGCCATATTTATATTCGTATTTTGTGTATACTGTACATAGTGTGTGTGTGTGTAAATGTTGTTTAAAACCGTTGTAGACATCACTACGTGTGCGAGGCGTCAGACCGAACCCTTTCGTTCACTGATTGCATGTACTGTATTATTCTACTGATGTTTAGGTACATCACAGAAATACTGAGTGAACTTTGACCAGCACATCAACACTAGTGCCTCGGTTGGGTCTTTACGTTTGGCTGTATGTTGTTGAAGAACTCAAAATGCTGCATGTGTGAATGTTCATGAACATCTCTTCACGAACACGCGCTTGTGTTGTGCATCTGGTGTGAAGGAAAGTGCAGTATGAATGCTAACAAACTCAGGAACTCTAGAGATTAATGTAACGATGATGACCGTGTGTGAAATGCTTTATTTTGTAAATTGAGAATATTTAATAAAAATACAACATGTTAATTTTACATAACTGTGGGCTGTTTGTTGAGGCGAGAGAGCGATATGTTGATAACACTCTTCAGCATTCGTTTATGCTCCTGTTGCAGCTCAGATGTTGATCTTTAAGAGTTATAATGGAGTTCCCATTTGTTTTGATCAACTGGATCTCAGGTAAAAAAAATAAAACATTAGAACAGACACAAATGAGTCGGAAGTTGTCATCCAGTTATAGTTACAAAATTAAATTAAATATATAGAGCTATAAAATGAATGTGGAGAGCCACTCAAATCATTTGATGGGAAATGTTTGAGTTCATATTGAGACTTTTGAGAGTTCCGGAGATTAACGGAGGACAAAAATCTCCATTCGATTGTGTTCATGTCTGGGAGAACCAGTTGAGATGCTAATGTTATCTCAAGTGTGACTTTCTTTCCTGTGGTGAGGTCTGATCAGACCCCATGGGGGGAAAGTTCTGCTCTGCATCCAGGCCACCTCGCTCGCGTCACTTTCTGTCAGAGGCGCGAGAGCAGGTTTCAGTCCTCACCGCATGCTGACACATCCGCACAAACAAACAAACAGCCTGAGTTTGCTTGAGACCAAATATATATTGTCCGCAGATACTGTAGAAGCAGAAAATAAACGGAGAAGTTTCAGAGACGACACAATGCATGCCTGTTGGAGTTTCTTCCAAGTGAAGTTTGCATGAATGCAGGCAGACACTCGACTAAGAAATCATTGCTTTGAATCTCTCTACCGGATGTAACAAATTTGCTCATGCTGTGCAGAGCATCTGGAAACAACATGAGTCAGTGTGAGATTTGCTTCATAACATCTGACTGGAAGAGTGCGAGAGTTCATGAAACTGAATATGCAGGAGAGACTACCAAAGACACTTGACACGAGCCAAAGCTGACTTTCCCAATACATGCTTTTGGTCTCCTTGTGAACGATTCATCAGTGCACATTATTCCAAAGACCAATAAATGTCTCACTCTCTGCCTCTCTGATACAGCTTTGATTCCTGTCTGACGTCACTGATCTCTTTTGTTTTCCGTTTCACCTGAAAAATGAACGATGAAAGAGCTGTAAACGCCATTTCACGTCAGTTTTATCTGTGCAAAGGCAGTGAGTGGAAATCAATGCAGTGCTACTAGAAGAGCTTCAGTGAGACAAATGAACTAATTTTTCAAAATGTGATTCTTCATATATTGGCTGTTTGAAAGCTGACTGGTCACCACTTTTAGGTAGTTAAGGTGATTGGTTGAGAAATGTTAGTTAATGTCTTTTTACTTGGCAGCCATTTTTGCAACCCCTCCAGGCATCTGTTTCTGGAAACCCTGAAAAACCAAATTTGCCAAATTCACATGCCTCAAACCAGAACAAAATCTGACATGGACCATGTCATAAATGTTGTTTCTTATGCTCAAATATTCTAGCGTTAGAAAGCATACAGTTCAGGCTGGATCAGCCAGGTGCAGCCTTTTAATATAAGTGAGCCATGCTGTTATATCTAACCTCTTAGCTGCATCCAGACAGCTGTATTCCAGTCATGTAATTATCTGAGCTTAATATCTGCCAGCTCTCTGAACTGGCCCGTCTCCTGCTCCTTTCAGTTTCACTGGAAAATGTTACAAGGCAGGAGAAGGTCTGCATGACTAAAGACATTGAGAAAGATCTATCTAATCCAGTAGTCCTACAGTAGTCAGTTGGAAGAGCCATGCTTCTCAGCAGTAGGACAGTTTAAGGAGGATTTCATGCTATTTTAGGAACAATTACCGTGACTCAGTGGATGTGCTTACATGCACAATAAAGAACATAACTGAAGAGATGTCTCACTGGATATGTAAGTGTAGCCAGTGGCTGTTAGATGCCCGTTTTAGGAACAATTACCGTGACTCAGTGGATGTGCTTACATGTACAATAAAGAACATAACTGAAGAGATGTCTCACTGGATATGTAAGTGTAGCCAGTGGCTGTTAGATGCCCGTTTGCAGAAGTAAAGATGAGCAAGCTCCAAACTTGACAGTTCTGAGACGCCAGATTGTGTTTCTAAACAAATCTACTTCAGTAGGTGTCCTTGTCCTGCTAAGACCTGCTTCAGAAATTAAAAACAGCTGGAAAATATTCATGCTTATCTGAGCAGATCGGCAGCGGAGTCTCTGCTGAAGGCAGTTTGGCGGTTGTCTTCCGCCACCTGTTGATGGATGTGGAGAAGTGAAACATTGGCTTGGTATTTGCAGCTTTGATCTCAGCGGACGCCTCTCATGCGAAGCACCTTGACTTGCACAGCTCAGGAAAACACTGCTGCATCTTTGACTGTCTTCTCAACAGGCCCTGGACCTGCTCCACATCTGTAATCCTTAGACCATCACTGTCCGTTTGACAGATGTGTTCACTGACAAAACTTTCATATCTGTTCAAAACAGACAGACTGTGATTTCAGTGAGAAGGACGTGTTTGTGGAGCTGGATCAGCAGATGTCTAAACTGGATCAGCCCATCACCCCTCTGGTTTTAGGTCTGGTTAAAGGTTTTGGTAGGACTGTGTTTGTCTGTCACTCAGTTTGGTCTCTGATCTTGGTCTTTAGAGGAACAGAGACTGATGCTCGGAAAGAAACAAGCGGCTCGTTTTTCTTTCTTTCTCATGCCATTCATTGCTCTCTCTTTCACTCTTTTTCTCTGAGTAACAGAAAGAAATGAGAAGAGGGAACGGTTGGTTGCGTATAAAGACAGAGTGTTTCTGGAAACTTCCACCAAGATGCCAGAAAAGTGCTGAATCAGAAGCGCAGGCTCTCACCGCCCCCGTCTCTCACTCTCGATCTCCCACTCACGCTCTCACAGCTTCCTACAGCACAGCAGCAAACACTCTACCACACAGACCCACCTGCTGTCTACCTATCAAACTATCCATCTATATCCATCTATCTATCTATCCATCTATATCCATCTGTCTATCTATCTATCTGTCTATCCATCTATCTATCCATCTATATCCATCTATCTATCCATCTATCCATCTATCTATCCATCTATATCCATCTATCTATCTATCTATCCATCTATCTATCCATCTATATCCATCTGTCTATCTATCTATCTATCTGTCTGTCTGTCTGTCTCTATCTATCTATCTATCTATCTATCTATCTATCTATCTATCTATCTATCTATATCTATCTATCTATCCATTGGAATATCTTTCTATCTATCTGTCTGTCCATCCGTCTATCCATCTGTCTGTCTGTCTGTCTGTGTGATATTAAATGAAGTTTATGGCCGTTGGAGGAAGTGACATCAGACTCCGAGTTCTACTTCCTGTTGTGTTCAGGTGCAGTGTGAGCGGCTGTGGAAGGAAACCACCAGGTGTGTAAAATGCCATGTCACCACGACCGCACAGTATGATAATGAGTGTATGAGAGCGTTTAGTGTGTAGGCATCTAGATCTTACACTCATTCTAAAGCCACATTCACTTCACAAGTCTTAAACGTTAACTACTGTTCTCAAGGGGGTTTCTATTGGCTGTTATGTTTCAGATGTCTGCACTTGATAAAATGCAGGAAAATGAGAAAAATAACTCTACATCCACCCTGTAGATCAGCAGCTCCCAAACGCTTGAGTGAACTGAAGCCCTGAGATCTACATGGACATCTTGAGAGATCAAGTCATGCTCACACATATTAAGACATACATGTTGTAATCGTTTTAATTTTCGGTATGTGTTGACATTTTTGTGAACCCTACGGTTGTGAAACACTGCTCGTGTTTCTCCAGCCATTGCACCTTAAAGCTGATGTGTGCAATTTACATACGCACTAAAACACTTTTCTTACTTCTCTGTTTTCTGCTTTCATGTGACTGTGCTGAGCTGTGACATCAAACGCAGCAAAGGAGAAACAAAACTCATATTTAATTTTCTTAAAAAAAAAAGGAATCTGCTACTGGTAAAACATAAAGAAATAACTGTTTTAAAGGACATCACAAATGACATCTGCACTGCAAAAAAAAAAAAATATATATATTGTTCAAAGTTGTAAATAAAAAATGAATAGAGATCATGATCCCCTTATTTATACCATTTTATTTGATTTATCTCACTATCATTATTATCTGTATTGCTTTTCACTAGTGCATTATGTATTAAATATTGGCTTTTTATATTGTGCAGCACTTTGATCAACTTCAGTTGTTGTTTTTTTTTTGTTTTTTACTGTGCTATATATATAAATATTGATTGATTAATTAATTGAGTACAGTGTACAAGAAAATACTGTTACTTGCCATTTTTTTGTAATTATTTGTGAAATGTACTAGCCATTTCTGAGTGAAAACTATTTCAAAGCCATTTTTTTCAGTGTGTAAAATGTAGCAACCCAGAATACATGTGTTTCTGACAGATTTAAAAAATTGAATGGATAATTTTGCATGTGATGTCTCATATTAATTTATGTGCATGTAGTTTTTGTGCAAAGTGTAGACAGGTGGACTCTTTTGCGTGGGTGCCAAAACACGAACAGTTTAAATGAATAAGAAATTCATATTTGGTGTGAACAAGAAACTGTTATTATTTTATTGAGAAAAATGAGACGCACTGACGCAAATAGAGAAGCACTGGTTTTTGAATCTATGGTGTAGTATCGGCCCTCACTAACCAGCCAGACAAGACCCCCGAATCTGACCTGTGGGTCACAGTGTGTTTGAGTAATATCAGATAGATTCACAAAGACGAGTAGAAGACATCAGCACGGATTCTTGACTTTCTCTCTTTAAACGGAAAGAACATCTAAAAGAAACTACACAGCCATTTGTTTATTTGTGGTGACTGCAGGTTTTTTTGGAAACTTCCGTTGTGAATGCAGAAATGCGCTGAGTCAGGAAAATGCAACCGCTGCCCCCCTCCGAAAACCCCGTTCCTGCGCGCTTTCTGTCCCCTTTCTGTCTTATTCCACCTCGCTCCACCACATCCTGCCGTCCCCACACATCTCCCTGCTTATCTCTGCTTTCCCTCCATCTCTCTCTCTTTATCTGTCGTGCTCTGTGCGGCTTTGATGTGCAGCGCTGCATTCAGCACACTGAGGTTGAAATCGAGAGCTAGAAAATAAGGAAGATAAGCGGCATTGTGCAAGACTATTGTGACTCGCTGGAGAAGACTCTGAGATTGCAATATTGTATTACTATGATACACATTTAATGCACATTCCAGTCAATATAGTCAAAACACAGTATGTACTTTTATAAATAACAACAAACAATGTCACACCGTGAACGCACAGCTGAATGTTTGATCGATTCATGTGCGCCATCTCGTTGAACGCACTGAAAGTAGTTCACCCAGAAATGAAAGTGTGCTCACTCTTAGGCCATCCAAGATTAGGATGAGTTTGTTTCTTCATCAGGTTTAGAGAATTGTAGCATTACAGTAAATGGGTGCCGTCTTAATGCTGGATTTGTCTCAGCTTTTGTCTTCTCCAGAAGTTAACTGGTGGACTGGAGTGCTATGGATTACTTGTGGATAAGTGTGCTCACTCTTAGGCCATCCAAGATTAGGATGAGTTTGTTTCTTCATCAGGTTTAGAGAATTGTAGCATTACAGTAAATGGGTGCCGTCTTAATGCTGGATTTGTCTCAGCTTTTGTCTTCTCCAGAAGTTAACTGGTGGACTGGAGTGCTGTGGATTACTTGTGGATTATTGTGATGTTTTTATCAGCTGTTTGGACTCTCATTCTGACGGCACCCATTCACTTGCAGTGAGACAATGATGCAATGCTACATTTCTACAAACCTGATGAAGAAACAAACTCACCCTGATCTCGGATGATCTGCAAATTTACATTTTTAGGTGAAGTATTTCTTTAACGTGTGTTCTTGACTTACTGTGGTGGTAAAATACCTCAGTACTGAGGTACTTGCTCAAAAAGACACTCTGAAACAATTGCTCCATCATGACAACAGTTGGGAAAAATAAAACAAAGAATAATAAACCTGACCATAGAAGAAATCTCTGGTTTATACAGCAATGCTGAGATGCATGTTACATTATGAATTGCACTGAAACATTCCAGAATGCAGCACTTCAAACAGAGACATGTAATATATGTATATAAACTGACATCAGCTTATAATAGATAAAGGATAGATGACAGTAACAAGTTTACAAGCATTTGAAACATGATTTCTTAAATAGTGCAATTATTTAAAAATAAGTGATTAAAAATATGTTTCTTTTCAAATGGTTTCCTGAGAATGGGCCTCTAACGCACAAACTAGCAGAATTATCGTTTAGCTTTACGGAGAAATGACATCTGATCCGAGGGTCAGGTTTCAGCCATACTCACACTAAATATATTTATTCACCCGCAGAAACAAAAATAAAAAAATAGCACAATTCTATATTGCAACAATTCGCTAAATATGTCAAATAATATTGAAAACTGGAATGAGAACCTGAGAGTGTGTGTGTGATTTTCTTGCAGCAGTATGTCAGTATTTAGACCATGAAGGCCCCAAAGAAGTTCTCGTAGGCTTCACCGTGCACCTGCGAGCTGTTATTGACCTTCACGAACACACTGTCTCCTTTATACAGCTGGAAGATGCCTCCCAGGTAGCTGTTGTCCCTCCACTGAGATTTATTGGGCACGCAGATAAACCTAAAATAAAAACATTCATGAGCTTTAACGCTTGCAGCTGTGATCTGAGGTGATCTGTGGTGTGCTGTGGAGTACCTGGAGCTCTGCATCAGCTCGATGGCCTGTGAGCTGTACCTCTCCGTGCACTGCATGACCTGATGCTTGAAGAAGTTGCAGTTCTCCAGGTGAGCGATCTTGGAGAAGATGTAATAGTATCCGTCCTGCTGGACGTACAGGCTGTTGTTCTTGTATTCCAGTCCCCTCGTGAACACCGGGAAGCTGTCGGCTCTCCAGTGCAGGACGCCGTTCCCGCCAGACGCGGGGGAAGCGACTACACACACACACACACACACACACACACACACACAGAGACACACACGTCATGCAGCTGCAATACGTTTAGCAATATAATGGCTAATGCATATGAAGAAAAATGTAAAAAATATTTAATAACTGGGAAAAATCCCCAAATTTTCCAAAAGTTTCCAAAAATTAATCCCAGAAAGTTTCAAAAATTTCTGGAAAGTTTTGGAAATGTTCTGCTTTTTTGCAACCCTATTCAAAAACATAAATATACGTGTGTGTGTGTGTGGAAGCTGTTCCATACTTTGCAGAAATGCTGCCGGTTTGCTCTCAGCTTTGGGAGGTTTCGCAGGCACAGCTTTATTGTAATCTGTTGAGAAAACAAGCCGAATGAACACTGAACACATCTTGAAGAGCAGCGCTTCAATCCTCTGACTGTGTGAGAGTTTACCAACCATGTGAACTTCTGGGAGACGTGGACTTCTCTCCCTGCGGATACATATTTACAGCAGCGTTAATACGATCGTCAGACACGTGCTTATGTACTCGCACACACACTTGAGTAAAATATATACTCACTTTTATATATTCCACTTTATGGATATCTGATGATGCCTAGAAAGAAAAGAAAACTTTTGATGTCTTTCACAACTTAAAATGTTTTGGCATTTCAGATGTGAATGAAGGCCTGTTCACAGCAGTCTGAACGAATGGGTGTTAATGCTCCTGACTGAAACAAGTATTCGTATACCGTCAATGCAACTGATTTTTAAGTGTTGTAATCTCGTTTCAGTCTCACTGCTGAATAAAACTGGCCAACCAATAGGATTTGTGCTTTTAGTCACCGCAGCTGTTACAGTGAGAAGCAGAGGAGCAATCAGCTCTGGTCTCTGCATTACTGTATTATGGTGTGGTTTTATAAACATAACGGATTAGGAAATCTGAACGGTGATGTTTGAAAACATGCAAATGATGTTTGACACCCTGCGTGTCAGAAACCGAAAGTTAAGCCCAAAGTATACTTCAGTTAGGGTCTAGCGTATAATGCACGTGGCGCAAATTTCGTCACTAGAATAGTACAACGCAACACTCAATTTCTGTAGCCACGCGTACTTTGTACACCCAGGTCGCACATGCACAATTAATTTGCTTTGCACTAATCAGTTGTTTAGTTTAAAAGAGTACAAAGCTATTTTTTTGCTCATAACTTCTGGAGAACAATAGAGCAGACGTCGGACAAAGATGGAGCTTTCTAGAGCACATGCAAACGTGTATAAAAAAATTTTCTTTAAGGTTTACGTAGCACTTTATGTCCCAGAGTTATCAGGTTATTTCTGCTTTTCTAAAAGCGCCATCTACTGTCAGAGAATGAAACTGTCTGCCTTTTGTTAACGCATTGGTCTGAACAGACAAATCTTCATATCTTCACATTTTCATATCTAACATTAGCACTACTTTGGGATAATTTTATCACTAATCAAATAATTTTTGAATGTGTCTAGATAGCTACGGCTTACAATTTAACTTTTTTTCTGGGGGAAGGTGAGTTAGGGTATATGAGAGTCCATTGTTTTAACCTTTTTTTAACAAATCTGACTTTTTAAAAAGACTCTCGTTGTATTTTAAGATCTGTTAGGATGTGCTGAAAGGCTCTGTCCTCAATCTCATGCACTTGAGTCGTTTGTAGGACCATAACACTGTTATTAGTTTTGATAGAGGACTGTCACACTCTTTACCAGGATGAACACCAATTGATTTTATTACATGGAGCTTAATCATGCATTGCTAATATATATAATGGTATGTGTGTGGTTTTTTGTTTGTTTGTTTTTTTGACAATGTCTTGGGTGTAAATGTGCAAATGTTTACAGGAAATCTCTACACAGTAATCCAAAGCCATGAGCAATATTCTGCGGGGGTTGTGTAACCTAGTGGTTAGCAATCTGGGGTAGTTACCAAAGGCTTCAAAACCATAAGCAGATGCAAGACCTCTGGCTACTGCTAAACTGAGATCTGCCTTTAGCCAAACGATAGATTATCCAGTCACTACTGACACTAGAACAGCAGAGGGCTGCCTGTATTTTACACCGATTCGTCTGATCAGGGGTCAGAAAGGTCAAAGCAGAGTGAGATTTTGAGACTCTTGGCAGCATCCAAGAAGCGAAACATGGGATCATTCCCGCAGCGTTAGAGGAAGTGATGTCAGCACAGGGGTGGGAGGGGTCATCTGACCTACACTGATGACAAGATGCCCAGCGGGGGCAACAGTGTCTCATTCTTGTGGCATTGTTGCAATTATTCATTGACATTGTTGACTCAATTCTTCCACACGTATAGTAATTATTATACACGTCTCATGAGCTCATATTATCAGTCACACCACATGATCACAGAAAAGCTAAAGAGTGTGAAAAACACTGTAAAAGAGATGTTGTGTGGTTACAGCAACTAAAATACATGCTTTCCCTTTATAGATGTACAGTAGGTGTGTCAGCACTAGTGAAATGATTGTGTTGGGGTTTTTCCACTGCAAATATTCCCAGAACTATAATCTGAGTGTACGGATGTCTCAGTATTTGGAGCTACATGAACTAAACCTGACGGCCAGGATCTCCAGCATGACTTCAGATGATCTACAGAGCAATCTGAGTCACATGATCAGTGATCTCTGTGGTCTCCTGGAGCCCATTGTAAATACTCATAACATTACTCAAGCTCATGCCCATGTGTCTCATTTAAGAGTCACACCTGTGATCCTCGGGGGTCAAAAACAGGCCAAAGATGGTAAGCAGAACTTTTTGTTTAATTAAACAAATGCACTATATTTTATTGCAATTATATTGTTTCTTTAATACATTGTATTCTGAGGGAATTCCATGCTCCTAGACAATGTTCACTGCTAAATTGTGTGTTATAGATAGATAGGCTGCGTTTTGACTAGTTGCTTTTAAAATTATTTTCAGGTGTACTTTTAGTAGGTTTTGCATTGGGATATATTTAGGCATTATTAAAGACTACTCCATCAAGGCTGATTTGTAGATTGTACATAATTGCTCTGTATGTTCATTTTTCCCATTCAGATCACAAGTGTGACTATTTTTATTTTACAATGATTTACTCTTTTATAATCATGTCCGCATCAGCATATATCAAGTGCTACATACCATACCACCAAACATTTAAAAAATGCAAAACAGAGTATTTTTTGGTCTAAAATGACCAAAGACCTCCAGAGGGTTAACTGAGCATAGCTAATAACTATATGAACTGCATGGAAGAGCGTGATGAGGACTCACCGCGGGCCTGCTGTAGAGATGCCAGATGAATCCAGCCTCGATGAAGACCCCCAGCAGAGCCACGGCCAGCAGCAGGTAGATGACGGAGAGCCGCGGGCCGTCCCTCCTGACGGACACCTGACTCGGGAACGCCTGGCTGTCCACCACGAACACCTTCATGTCTTTATTCACGCTCTCAGCTGCGTCCGCCATGCTGCAGTATGACTGATCTATCAACCCAGCCAAACAACACCTACACCTTCAGACGGGAAACCTCTCTGTCAGAGCGCGACGGCCGGGTCCTCCATAGAGTGTGTGAATGATTCACTGCGGTGTGTGAGAGTCCATCCTCAGCGTGAGCACAGCAAACACTCAAGCATACAGCATCATCTGAGCAGACTCTCCTGAGAGCGACCTGACATCCTCTGACCCTGAACCTCACTGAGCCCACAGAGAGAGAGAGAGAGAGAGATGACCGCCCACTGCTCGCGGAAGGGTGTGTGTCTCAGAGAGAGAGAGAGAGCACTAGGGAGGGGTTCGACAGAGGAAAGGAACTAAAATGAGGAAGTTTTGGCTGAATGATGATAAATCTATCTGTCACTCCATTTTTACGTCTGTCTTCTGAAACCTCGTTGTTTTTGTTCTCCATTTACCTAAAAAGTGACTTTTTATTATTGTTACTTAAAAAGTAACACAGTCCTACTTGTCAAATAAAAAAGTAACTTTATTATTATAACTTAAAGTAGTATTGCTTGTTGCTAATCTCATAAAAAGTCACTTAAAGTAACAATATTCTGCTGTCATGAAAAGTAACTTATTATTGTTACTTAAAAAGTAACACAATCCTACTCACTGAATAAAAATAATTGTTGTTTGCTTAAAGTAACAATATTGTGTTCATTTCATAGAAAGGTAACTTTTTGTTGTTACTTAAAAAGTAACAATATCTTAGTTATAAAATATTTTTTTGTTTATTGTTTCTTGAAACATAACAATATCCAACTTATTAAATAAATGGTAACTTTTTTATATTTAACTTCTTATTAGTTACTTAAGAAGTAACAATATCCTGCTTATAAAATAAAAAAGTAACTCATTATTGTTACTTAAAAGTAGCAATATCTAACTTATTATTGTTAGATAATTATTACTTATTATAAACTTTTTTATTGTTGAAGTAACAATTTTTGTGCTACTTTCATAAAAAAGTAACTTTTATTGTTACTTAAAAAGTAACAATATCCTAGTTATAAAATCATTTTTGTTCATTGTTACATTAAACAATATCCAATCTTATTAAATAAAAAGTAACTTTTTATTATTTTTACTTCATTTAACAATATTTGTGCTAATCTCATAAAAAGCTACTTTTTAAATTATTGTTACTTAAAAAGTAACAAAATCCTACTTACTGAATAAAAAGTAACTATTTTAGTTACCTAAAGTAACAATACTGTGCTAATTTCATAAAAAGTAACTTAAAAAGTAACAATATCCCACATATAAAAAGTATTGCTACATAACTATTACTTTTTATTGTTACATAAAAAGTAATAATGTCTTAATTATAATATCAAATGACCACTGCTAATGTACGAAACGGGAAGTAACTGATGTTATTTTATTTCATTTCTGTAAATGTATGATGAAATATTGAATTGGTCTGTTCGATCGTTTCCTCACTGCAGTCCTAAAATCACCCTGCTTTTGTGTTGCTGTGCATGCAGAGGATGCGTGAAGATCTGCAGAAATCCGGAAAAAGCAAACAACAAAATAGGTGACCACAGGCGCTCTCGCTTATCTGATGACCCAGAGACTAGTGCGCACACACACACACACACACACAGATCTGAGAGTTCCGGTGCAGTGAGAGCTCAGATGTGAGGATGCAGTGAGACAGGAAGCAGTCGTCTGTCGTGAGCTGTGGCACTGACCGTGAATCATCTCTGAACACACACTCTCATGCACCTGCCCTCATGAAACTGGACCAGCGTCTGATCTCTGGTCAGTTTTGAATCAGTTATGTTCAGTCGCTCGCTGTGTGTGTTCAAAGTTCACCATCTCACTTTCATTCTTTTCACCATGACATTTCTCAGGGGGTTTTTCACAGCTACACTTGTACTGTACATTATACAGTTGCATTTTCTTTTGTGCAATTTTATTTGCAGTTGAAGCTTTTATGTGCATGCTGTACAATATTTATTATAATAATCTCTAGCCTAAAGCATGAGAAATAGTGATGCTTGACTTACCATTAATACTACTGCCAATAATAATAATAATAATGATGATAATAATAATAATGATAATAATAATAATGCAACTGATTGCGAGCCATTTTATTGAGTATTTTTTCACCCTACTCAACACAGATGTCACTACCAGCAGAACTAAGTGTGGATGTCAGTATGGTTTGGTTGTGCTGTCATCTAGCGACAGATGGACATTATATCAGCGTGTCTAAAGTAAGACCCCATCGTAGACATGTTCCACTGAATTCCGCTTTGAGGTGTGCGTTTTAAGTGATTATAGCTTATATAATACCGGGTTTATGTCTATTTATATATTTTATCTCATAGTCTGATTGTAAAGTTGATCTTATCTGGCTAGCATTGCTTTATGCTTCAGGATGTTACAGGTTTCGATGACGGTGTTATGTGTAACACGCGTCCCTGCGCGCTGATTGGCTGCAGCGCGGACACTCGGTGTGCTCTGATTGGCTGAGCGCAGCAGCAAAAGTTGAGCTACGGAAGCGGAACACATCCGCTGCTGGACTGAGTTACGAGCGCCGTTTAAAGCGCTCTTCCTCTGGGTTACAGCATGCATGACGCGTCTCTGCTCGGATGCGTCGCGCTGTTCATCGGCGCCGTCAACGCGTTCAGTCCCACCGACAGCGAGTTCACGTTTCTGCTGCCAGCTGCCAGCAAAGAGTGTTTCTACCAGAGCGCTGTTCGCAACGGCAGCATCGAGATCGAGTACCAGGTAACGTTACAGCGCGAGCTCTGAGATATGTAACGTTACACACAAACACAGATGACGGAGAACGTTCTGGCGAGGTTCTCTAATGTTCTCAAAACGATATGAAAACCTTTATACATCTGACAGCACAGGTACGTCTGCTAAAGATCTGGAAAGCATCTGCTGTGTACAAGCATCTGATAGACGTCAGTTTTGCATGCATTATAAATCATAAGCATCTTAAAGACATCTTCTAAACGGCTATTTGACATCTGCTAGGAAACATCCTCCTATAGACTACTGCAGATGAGCAAACACTCTAAAGATACAGATGTCTCTGAGATGTACGTGTGCTGTCAGGGAAGTCACTATTCAGAAGTAACGCTCTCATGATGTTTGCAAAGGCAAACCTAATGGAAAGAGCCATTTCATGGTTCCACCTTTATTTACTCTGATTGTCCTAGAAGTGCCAGAGTTAAACTACGGTCACTATGGCGTTGTGTTTGTGCAGGTGATCGCCGGAGCAGGCATGGATGTGGATTTCTCCATCGTCTCTCCTCAGGCAATCCACCTGGTCTCCGAGTTTCGCCGTTCTGACGGCGTTCACATGTGAGTGCTCTCATCTCATCTCGCTCAGACATTTCATTTCGGAAATCATACTGTGGTGCGTTCATTGGCCAGATAGCACACGCACATCTGCAAGAGGTCTGTTAAAGATCTGGAAAGCATCTGCTGTGTACAAACCTCTGATAGAGGTCTTTAACACATGCATTCTAAATCATAAACATCTTAAAGACATCTTCTAAACGTCTATTTGACATCTGCTAGGAAACATCCTCCTGTAGATGTACTGCAGATGAGCAAACACTCTAAAGATACGTCTTGCAGATGTCAAACAGACGTCTCTGAGATGTACGTGTGATAAATACCATGGTATTATCATACATTACTGTACTATGGTCCTCCTGTCACATATAAAGTGTTGGGCCGTTCACACCATTCAGCTGCTGCTTTCTATTGTTTTGCTGTGTAAACATGCGCTAGATCAGTGAATCTCAATCTTTTGGCGTACCGGACCCCGTTCCAATTCAGAACCATCCTCAAGGACCTCCAGAACAAAATTGACTCGTATCATTTGTGTCTTTGTGAGGACCAAATGCAGTCAAGTATAATTCAAGTTAGCTGACTTGTCCAGTATTTGGCCATATCATCAGCTATATTGGATTTTTCTTTCATGGGAACATCATGTCAAAATATACAACATTTATACAAAAATTCATACTTTATACGGACCCCCTGGCCTTATGTCAAGGACCACTAGGGGTCCACGGACCCCTGGTTGAGAAACACTGCACTAGATGACTTACTCGCGTGTGATTGGTCCGCTGTTTTCAGGGTGGAGCCCACGGAGGCGGGAGACTATCAGATCTGCTTCGACAACAGCTTCAGCAGGTTCTCCGAGAAGATGGTCTTCTTCGAGGTCATCATGGACAGCCCAGCCAATGACGGCGGAGCAGACGACGAGTGGGCGGGGCTTGGAGAGCCAGAGAGCCTATTAGAGTACAAGCTGGACGACATAAAGGCGAGTGAATCTGATGTCAGAGTCACATGATTACATAGTGCTGATTTATAAAGATATTAAGTGAATGACGTTCTGTGGGCTGCCTCTGTCTTCCACAGAAACACAAACCAGCTCAGTGTGCTTTTCAGGTTTTTTTTTATGGGAATGTGTTTCATTGAAAATAATCTCAAAATGCGAAACATCCTAAAGGCTTCATTTACTTTAAGCGGTGTTATTTTGGCATTATTTATATGATATAGTATTTATTAATATTTCATTTAACATATTATTTGTTACTAATTTTATGTGCTTTTGTCATTTTCATTAGTTTTTTTTATCTTGTTTAATATCAATTTTAGTCCTTAAACCTATTTCATTGTTTTTTTTTTCATCTAATATTTATTTCAGCTCTATTTCAATTACCAAAACAATTTTGAATAGTTTTAATTTATTAATTAACAGTAATAGCACTGACTTTAAGCAAAATCTAATTTCTTAATTACATATATATGGGCCAGAATTGGTCCAAAGTCAGAGTTAAAAACGTCTTGGAAAAAATGTCTTTTCCCAAAAAAAAAATGTGTATGTAAATTGTATAATATCCAAAGTACACATTTCTAGTAATTAATTCTCATGTTGTATTTTCAGAAAATATTTGTCCTCTCCCCAAATGTGTCACTACCGAAACACAGTAATAATTTAATTAGAAGGGTTATAATGACCTACTAAGATTTTGCTTGCATCTACATTGTAAATATATTTGTTTGCTATTTTTTTTTTCAGAGGTAAATCAATAACAGTTACATTTTTAACAATATTTCAAGTGTGATTTATGAGAATTGTTGTATTTTGAATCCAATTTGTTCTTTGTAAAAGGCATGAAGTTGATCAAACTGATTTCAAAGTTAAGGATTCATTAGTTTGAATATACATTGAACCAAAAGCTATCATAACAGCTTCAGTATACTTTATTTCTGAGAAAACATCCCATGTTTCGGTAGTGACAGTAATGCTTTGGTAGCGACATACTAACATACTAACTCACATCCTAACTTGCGTACTAACTCACATACTAGCTCACGTACTAAAATACTACTAACTCACGTACTAGCTCACGTACTAAAACACTACTAACTCACTAACTCACATACTAAAACACTACTAACTCACGTACTAACTCACATACTAAAACACTAGTAACTCACATACTAGCTCACGTACTAAAACACTACTAACTCACATCCTAACTCGCATACTAACTCACGTACTAAAACACTACTAACTCACATACTAAAACACTAGTAACTCACGTACTAGCTCACGTACTAAAACACTACTAACTCACATCCTAACTCGCATACTAACTCACGTACTAAAACACTACTAACTCACATACTAAAACACTAGTAACTCACGTACTAGCTCACGTACTAAAACACTACTAACTCACATCCTAACTCGCATACTAACTCACGTACTAAAACACTACTAACTCACATACTAAAACACTAGTAACTCACGTACTAGCTCACGTACTAAAACACTACTAACTCACATCCTAACTCGCATACTAACTCACGTACTAAAACACTACTAACTCACGTACTAACTCACATACTAAAACACTACTAACTCACGTACTAGCTCACGTACTAAAACACTACCAACTCACATACTAAAACACTACTAGCTCACGTACTAGCTCACGTACTAAAACACTACTAACTCACATACTAACTCACGTAATAGCTCACGTACTAAAACACTACCAACTCACGTACTAGCTCACGTACTAAAACACTACTAACTCACTTACTAACTCACATCCTAACTCGCGTACTAACTCACGTACAAGCTCACGTACTAAAACACTACTAACTCATGTACTAACTCACATACTAAAACACTAACTCGCGTACTAGCTCACGTACTAAAACACTACTAACACGTACTAACTCACGTACTAAAACACTACTAACTCACGTACTAAAACACTACTAACTCACGTACTAAAACTACTAACTCACGTACTAGCTCACGTACTAACTCACGTACTAGCTCACGTACTAACTCACGTATTAACTCACGTACTAGCACACTACTAACTCACATACTAAAACACTACTAACGTACTAACTCGCATACTAAAACACTACTAACTCGCGTACTAACTCATGTACTAAAACACTACTAACTCACATCCTAACTCGCGTACTAGCTCACTTAATAACTCACGTACTAACTCGCGTACTAGCTCACTTAATAACTCACGTACTAAAACACTACTAACACGTACTAACTCACATACTAAAACACTACTAACTCACGTGCTAAAACACTACTAACTCACGTACTAGCACACTACTAACTCACGTACTAACTCACGTACTAAAACACTTCTAACTCACGTACTAGCTCACGTACTAACTCATGTACTAGCTCATGTACTAAAACACTACAAACTCACGTACTAACTCACGTACTAGCTCACTTAATAACTCACGTACTAACTCGCGTACTAGCTCACTTAATAACTCACGTACTAAAACACTACTAACACGTACTAACTCACGTACTAAAACACTAGTAACTCACGTACTAGCACACTACTAACTCACGTACTAACTCACGTACTAAAACACTTCTAACTCACGTACTAGCTCACGTACTAACTCACGGACTAGCTCATGTACTAAAACACTACAAACTCACGTACTAGCTCACTTAATAACTCACGTACTAACTCGCGTACTAGCTCACTTAATAACTCGCGTACTAGCTCACTTAATAACTCACGTACTAAAACACTACTAACTCACGTACTAGCTCACGTACTAACTCACGTACTAAAACACTACTAACTCACGTACTAACTCACGTACTAAAATACTAAAAAATCTGCATAACTGTACTAAAATATAGTTTATTTCTCCCAAATATGAGGATTATGTGTTCCCTTTTGTCATGGAGTACACACACGGGACACATTTTCTAACATAAGGTTTCATAATTTACAAAGAAAATATAAAATAAATATTTTTTTGAACTTCACTTTTTAAAAGAATCAAAAAAATATTTTTAAAACAACAATAAAACATTTTTTTTAATTTATTTCAATATCATTTTCATAAGTTTAAATTTAGGGGTTAGGGTTCGGGACAGCTTCCTCCCAATTGAAAGTACCCAAGAAATGATGATTTTATATATATTAAGCTTACTAATATTTTAAATATTATTGTGGGTTTCAACAGAGAATAGAAGGGTCTTAGTAAACATCTAAGATTTTGAATACTTAAATGCTTTTTAAATGTGTTTTGGTTGTGGGACAGCAGTTTGCACCAGTTCTGTAGAATGGCCCATATATAATATATATACTGTATATGGATAATAATTAGTGGGAAATTGTTTATTTAATTTAAAATAATCTCAAAACATTAAATAAAGCTTTAATTTACTTTGAGCAGTACATAAAGCATTTACTTTATTTTAGTATTATTTAGATACTATTATTTATTTATATTTTTACATTTAACTTATTTTATATTTTTCTTTTTTTTAATCAATTTTATGTGCTTTCATCATTTTTATTATATCTGTTTAGTTCAGTTTTGGTATTTTAATATTTAAACTTATTTAATTTCAGTTATTTGCCAAGGCAGCATTTCTAATTAGAGTCAAGTTTAAGTTTTACATCTAATATTTGTTTTAATTCAGCTCTGTTTCAATTACTAATTCACTCACTCACTCACTCACTCACACTCACTCACTCACTCACTCAAACACACTCACACTCACTCACACTCACTCTCACACACACACACACTCACACTCACTCACTCACTCACACTCAGGAGTCGATGGAGACGGTCCACCGGCGGCTGGAGCGCAGTCGGCAGATGCAGACGGTCCTGAGGGCCTTCGAGGCGCGCGACAGGAACCTGCTGGAGGACAACCTGTGGCGGGTCTCCTTCTGGTCCTGTGTGAACCTGCTGGTGCTGCTGAGCGTGGCGCTGACGCAGGTCTGCAGCCTCCGCTGGCTGTTCTCCGACAGGAGGAGGGTCTGCTCCTGACACGCTCCAGAGACCTGCACGTGATGATGAGAGACTGCAGGCGGATCGTCTGCTGCGAGGAGGCAGGGCTTCGTGTCTTCCTGTCGCCTCAGTGTCGTAGCGCTGTCTTTTTTAGTCCCGTCATTTCATGGCGTGAGATGATGCCGTTTCGGGAAAATGTGCCGTCAGTCAACAGGGAACCTTCTGTACAGCTCTGTGCTTTTTTAAAGAGTTTTACACAATAAACCAATCAAACGGGTCGTGTTAAATCTACAGTTTGCTTTCTAAATACAGTCATGGTTCGTCTGCACATTATTCTAAAGAATGAAGATCAAGTTGTAACATAATAACTGATGAGTTTCCTTTTCATCAGATGCCATTAAACCCTCGTATTCACACAGAGACCTTCACATAGAAGCACTTCTCCATTAGATGAATCCATGGATATGATCCAGCTGTGTTTTACTCGTTAAACATCCACTCACTTGGAAATACGTCACATTACGTAAAAAGGTTTGCAAACTCAGTTTCATGTTCAATTTTCAAAATTAAAGGGAAAAAAATCATTTTAGTACAGAAAAATAAAACACTAAATATCAATTAAACCATAAATAAAAGAATTAAACAAATACAAAACACTTACTAAAAATTAAATCATAAAAAAAAAATTACATTTTACTGATTTATTAGTATTTTATTTTTTTATGATTTAATTTTTTTATATTAAAATATTTGTATTTTTTATGTAATTTTTGTTTTACATTTAATTTTGTTGTTACATTTTTATGATTTCATTAATTTTTAGTGTTTTATTTTAATTTTTTATATTAAAATTATTTGTAACATTTTTTTATTGTTTCATTTTGATTTTTGTATATTTAAAATATATTTTTTTTTACATTAACAAAAACCTAAAAGTGAAATCATAAATTGTTACATTTTAATTATTTATTTAATTTTAGTTTTTTTTTTTACATAATTCAACAAAACACTAAAAATGAAATCATAAAAGTGTAAACAAAAATATTTTAAATATGCAAAAATCAAAATGAAACAATTAAAAAATGTGCAAATAATTTTAATTTGTTTTTATATTAAAATTATTTGCACATTTTTTAATTTTATATTAAAATTGCAAATAATTTTAATATAAAAACAAATTAAAATAAAACACAAAAAAGTTATGAAATCATAAAAATGTAACAACAAAATTAAATGTAAAACAAAAATTACATAATAAAAAAATACAAATAATTTAAATATAAAAACAAACCAAAAAAACGATAAAAATTCAATCATAAAAATGTAAAACTAAAATAATTTAAATTTAAAAAAAAAGCATTTACTAAAAATAATTCATTCATTAATCATGACTAGCTGCTTCACATGAAATAAATCACACTCCAGGAGTTTAAAGGGTTTCAAACTCTTGTGTTTCTTGTGGACTTTTTAATATTTACACTTTAAGAACTGATTCACAATCTGTAGCACAATTCAGGAGCAAACACCTTTGGGTTGCAGATCGCGTGGACACAAACACCCTTTTACTGATAATACTCATGTCACTGGTCAAGTATCTTCAGTTCTTGCGAAACGGCATGAAAAACAGAAATGAGTTAAACAGATCTAAACATCCATGAAACCAGATCGATGTAGTCGAGAAGCCTGATGTAACTAGTGTCTGCTGTGATCATCAGGAACGCTAAATAAAGAGTTTCTACACAACAGAGAGAGGAGTGCTGTAAACATCACACTCTCTGATCACCGACACCTGCTTCACACGTTCACCTCAAATCAGCATTTCTAGAAGACAGAATACAAATGCCTGTTTAACTGATTATTACTACTACGTGGAAAAAAAGCACTGAAGACGATCAAAAAACAAAAACAAATCAAACTGAGTCTACGCCCTTTTTGGAAGCGTGACAGGTGTGTGTTTACTGTGGGCTCCGGCGCGGCGAAACCTCTTCAGTCCAGCAGAGACGGTTCTGGGCGTCTGGTGATGGAGGGCCGGTTCGGAGCGGCTGGGGGCCTCCTGCTGCAGACACATGATCATCAGCTCCAAAACACTAACGAGCACATCGATACTAGCTGACCTGACGTCAGCTAGAAGAAATACTACTCACACACTAACAATCAACTACTGGACTAATTTTACTATTTAAAAAAATCTACATAAAACACATAAAACAAATTAAATAATAAAATTTTATTTAATTTATTAATTTAAAAATCATAAAATAAATAAAAATAAAACACTAAAATTAATTTAAAAATAAATGTAAAAATCTAATAATTTATTATTTAAAAAAATCAAAGTAAAATAATTTGAATATAAAAAAAAAATAAAACACTAAAATTTACTAAATCAAAAAATGTAAAAGTAAAATGATTTTAATATAAAAAACAAATCAAATTAAAATACAAAAATTAAATAAATCATAAAAATGTTAAATAAAAATTTTAAAACATTTACTAAAAAAGAATTAAATCATAAAAATGTACGATTAAAATAAACCTTAAAATAAAAAAAATTAGTAGTCACTACTAATACCAGTAAAATCTGATTATTTTTGACACCATTCTCAACACACACCCCATTATCTACCAAATCTGCATTAACCAGTTAAATGAAAAACTAACTGGAGTTAAAATGTCTCTAAATTAAGCTTTTTGACTAGTCACAGTCACATATATGGTTTTCTGTTTGTGTGCGTTCAGTTTGACGGACTTAATGAATAATTACTGCCTCATTAATATTAATTACATTCAGCCAGTTGGA